AAATCATATTCATTCGTTGTGACGATACAATAATACAAAACGAACATACTATTTTATCGGAAAACATCGGGTTTTCCGGGGAAACAACATTATTCATTTGCACTTTCAATACAAGAATTCATTATGAGAAACATATCACTTTTTCACGTTTCGAAATCATTCACGCATATACTTATGGATCATCACACCTATTGTAATAACAATTGCCGTTTCAGAAAATATCGGATTTTCTGGGTTTTACAAACTATACAAAACATTTACATATCAAACCTGCTTATGAACTCACCAACATTATATATGTTGACCGTTTTCAAAATAACTTGTATTCTCAGGTAACAGATAAGCTGAAGAAAATTTCCAAGTGAGTTAGGATGTTATGTTTTGTGACTCTCAAACAATTTATGCTATGGATATGTATATTTATACAATGTACTTGATGTGAACAAAGTCAGTTGTAATGTATTAATGCATGGTGATGTTTATGTTATGTTTCATGTATATTCATTGTGATGATATTTCAATTTAAGTCACGCGAGCCCTCGGACGTTTCCGACGTCTAGTTCGGGGGTGTGACAGAGTGCTCTTACCTAAAGATGGACACCCACAGTTGACGGCCTTTTGTGACTCTGATTGGCTTGGTTTCCCCTACACAAGGTGCTCACGTACCAGGTATCTCATTATGCTTGGCAGGGCTCCTATTTCGTGGAAGATGAAGAAGCAGGTAGTGGTTTCACGGTCATCTGCAGAGGCGGAATATAGAGCTATGGCATCTATAGTTAGTGAAATTATTTGGATTCGTTGGCTTTTAAAGGATTTACAAGTTAACATCACTTCTCCTACAGATTTGTTTTGTGACAATCAGGCAGCCCGACACATTGCCAACAATCCTATGTTTCATGAAAGGATGAAACACGTGGAGATAGACTGTTTTTTATCCGTGAGCGTGTTCTTTCTAAGGAAATAATGCCATTGAAGATTAATAGCAAGTTACAAGTCGCTGATTTACTCACTAAAGGCCTTGGTTCGGCTCAATTCAATTTTTTTCTTAGCAAGATGGGCGTTATTGACTTGCACGCTCCATCTTAAGGGGGAGTATGGGATATAGTTTATTAGTTGTCATTACTTTATCTATTACTCCTTTGTTATTCCCGTCATTCTAGATTAGTTTGTTATCTTTGGTCTAATTTTGTAACCTATATTAAGTATCATTTGGCGTATTGAATAAGTAAGCTGAATATTATTCCAAACTCTATACCATCGTTTCTTAGACCGTAACACGTTTTCTCTGATTCATAAACCTCCATCTTTTTTTATTCTTTGAAAGTCTTTTGGGAAAGAGATTTTGTTTGAATTATGTTGTTTAGGATTTTTTTCTCCATTCCAGTTGAAAATATAAAATTTGTTTGTTGCTTAAGTGACCAACTCTATCGGTATTTTGAAAGAAGGAAACTGTTTTAAACACCTTCTGTATAGTCAAAGTTATTGACCAAAGTACCAAAGGTGAATCTAGATGCATTAGACACACAAGAACATGAACAAGATATAGAACACTTATGTAGTCTAGATGTTGCATGTATGTATTTCAGAAGGGTAAAATCGCCATTTACTCATCCATCCCAAAATAAAAGTATTTGTTTCTACAATTCTGATTTCTTAAAGTCAAATTGGCATATCAAGTTCTGAAAGTATTTGTTTCTAGAGTTCCGTGCTAACCAAATTGGTGTTGTTGACAAGTTAGGTTGACTTTCCGAGTACTAATTTTTGCAGGGTGTACAATATGAACCTGTTGAACAAGTTCATGATTTGAAGCACTATGTAACAAGGTAATCTTTCTTTAGAATTTAGGTACATATTTATCATAAATCATGTGTATTTTGACATATCAAAAGTCAAAAACTAAATCAATCTTTCTTGATCAGGAGAGAATCCCTTTAAAAGGTTGATGGTGAAGGTTAGTGTATAATAATCTTTCTTGGATTACCGAGTAGTTGTTAAATTATCTCATAAAACCCACCAATTGCTATTTAAGTTGTCTTCGTTGAATTTCTATTTGCATATCTACATGCCTTTGAACTTGTTCATATAATTCCTACACCTAAAAAACAGTAAGACTAACTTATATAATTAGTACATTTACTTTATTTTTACCAATAATAACAATGTACTAATATGTTTATTAATTAAATATATTAGTATGTAATCAGTGGCGGAACTAGAAATTTTTATAAGGGGTAGCACAAAAAAAATCTCGATAAAAGATAATAAGATAACATTTTTTTTAATTACGATTTCACTATACTCGGCTACTAATATAGAAAATATATCCTTACCAATTACTTCACAAATGACCTTGATTATCTCTTGGAAAAGCATTAAACAATTTCTTTCTTAATCTTCGAAGATGTCAATTTTTCATTTTTAGAAATATTTTTTGAAATAACATTATAAAGTTTTCATTATGTTTCCAAAGGAAAGATAATTCTTCAAATGAAAAGGCCTCTACAAACAAGGTTAAAGATTTAAAAATCATAATTTAAGATTTAAATCTAAATTCACCAACAACATAACAAGTGAACAAGTAATTAGTTAATTTTAGGTTTTCAATATGAACAACCAAATAAAATAAAAACAGTAAAACATTAAAAATTAAAATAAATAACTAATACTTTTTTCATTCTTGCTATTTAAAAAGAACTAAAGAAGTCAAACTAGGTGTAAGTATGGAAGAAACAGAAGAAGTGGCACCAAGTTGTAGTTGTATTATCGGAGGTTGTTTTGCTGTGAAATAGGGGTTTATTGTGCTGTGAAATAGGGGCATTGGGGCAGAGAAAGAAAAATATAAAACCCAATTCATTTCCTTCTACTTTCATATAGTGGGTCATTTTCTTCATTCAGTAGGCTACTTGTTTTTTAATTGGGCTTTTAATTTAGTATACATAATCATAAAATATTTTATCAGGTGTACTGACCAATATATATAAAACATATATATCTAAAAATTCAAAATTTTATTACGTGTGGGTAGAAAATGAGGGGTAGCACGTGCTACCCCTACCAACTAGTTAGTTTCGCCATTGTATGTAATTGTATTATACATTTATAATGTATTATATAATTTGTATAATGTGTTTATTAATTAAAGTTGTTTATCTGAATAACGTACATGATGTTAATCGATCAATATTTGACATATAAATGATTTTAAGTTATTCAACAATAGTCATGACAAACAATATAATGTGATTTAATGTTAACAATTGTCACCGTTTAATCTATTATGTGTCACTAAAAATCAATAATAGTCATGAAAAATTAAAACAAACATGTGACTAAAAGTAGTTTATGGTCACGACTTAATATATTACACGTCACTAAAAGTCAACAATAGCCATGACAAATGACAAAAAACATGTGACGAATAGTAGTTTATGGCCACATTTTAATATATTTCGTATCACTAAAAGTCAACAATAGTCTTGTCAAACGAAAAAACGTGTGACTAATAGTAGTTTATGGTCACGGTTTAATATATTATGTGTCACTAAAAGTCAACAATAGTCATGAAAAACGAAAAAACTTGCGACTAAATGTAGTTTATGGTCATGTTTTAATCTGTTATGTGTCACTAAAAGTCAGCAATAGTCATAATAAACAAAATAACTTGTGAGGGAAAATAGTTTATGGTGACGGTTATCAAAAAATGATTGAAAAAACTACAAAAGTTGGTACCCTATGGTAACGGTTTTTACCTATAGTAATAGTTTTATGGGTTATAGTCACTAAAATTAAACGTCACCATAACTTCTCATTAGTGATGCGACGTTTCCTTTCACATTGAATGATAAAAAACGTCATAAAATGTCTATAGTGACAATTTTTTTCTTTTTGCATGGCCAAATGTCAGTTTTGTACTAATGCCCATTTAATCGATTTCTGGAACAATCTGTGAATCTGTCCCAATTTTTAAGTTTTCTACAATGTTGCTACCGACTTTTTAGTCTAAAGAGTGAAGGGTGAAGAAAAGAGTTCGAGACTTCAGAATTGGAGTTCAAAGTTGGCTTCAGCCGTTTAGAGGTATTTTTCTATTTGATTAATCTTAGCTCTTATTTCTCGATATTTATAACAGTCATATCTTATCTTTCCAATCTTCTCTCTAATCAATTTGTGTTGGTATCTTTGTTTCAAGAGGTGTACTTGATTATCTAAACTCTAAAGTTCGGATTTTGTCCGAAGGTTTGAGGTATTTTTATGTGTTTTATAGAGTTTTGGAGTTCATCTGCTCATGTCTTTAACTTCATATTTGTGTTCTAACTCATGTTTACTTTTCTCTATCAGTATACACTTATTGAGATATTTCTGGAGGTTAGGGGCATCATTTTTGTGTGCTGATTCAGAAGGTATAACTTTTGCACTGTTGATATTAGTTTTTAAAAATTAGATTCTGATTTTTCAGATCACTTCTACTTCAAAGTCAAGACATAAACCCAAACCTTGATGGTTGTATCATTTTTATCAATCATACGATACAAATATAGGGGCATAATTTTTTTTTTAATCTTGTCGAGGGCATTAAAACTAATGGACCAATTTTACCCCTTAAGAGAAGGAAACATTACAAACACCTGATACAACTACTAGGCCAATGACCTTTTGGTATCTAAAACCCACATTAACAAAGTTATTTTCGAACATGAGCTACTTCTTCTCTCTTCTAATTACTATCTTAACTATTTATGGAAAATACATCTAAGCTACGTCAACTATCCGATAAAAACTTTATCCATTCTCTCGACAAATTACAATAATGGATCTCAAACTCTCCAACATTGTTGAAAACCTTGAGAAATTTGTCATATAAGCTTACTTTAAATCCTATTTATTGGATAAACATATCCATTTTTCTCATGTGGGTAAATATCACACTAATAAACCTCTTTTAATCTAGGATTTAAGGTAATTACTTATAAATGAAGATATCATTAATGATGAAATATAAAACACATATAATTATAGAAAACTCTACTTGTAAATTTCCATGACCCAAAGGTTGCAAACAAAGCATTCCATTTTTATTCCAGTGAATCCTGCATTTTTAGCCAACACAAGAAACTCATGCTCTGTGCGCTCCTTTCCTCCTGGATTTTGTGTCATCATGATTGCATCTATTTGAGTGGTGACTTTATTGGAAGAGCTTGTGTTGGACAAAAAAGGAAGAATGCTCTCAACTACAATAACCTTCCCCTCATTTGACAATGCCTTGTAGCAATTCTTTAGCAACTTTTCACAATGATCATCGCTCCAATCATGCAATATCCACTATGCCAGATTTCATGTTTCATCAATTAGAAAGACATTCAATTCAAATTGTAAGGATATTCGTGAAAAATTACCTTCATAAAGATGACATCACTTGGGGGAACCTCTTCAAACATATCTCCTCCAATATGTTCTATACCTACATTTACAATAAGAAAAACATGAATAAATGAGGTTGTCAAAAAAGTTTAGGACCAAAAAAAATCAAAGAACCAAAACAGAACGGTTCTTGGTTTTAGATTTTATTTAAATTTGGCTTTAGGTTTGAAATTCAATTAACCCGATTTTTTTCTTTAGGTTCCATTATTTTTTTCCCAGATTGATCGTCTTTATTTTTAAAAGGTTAAGAAGGCCTAAACTAAACATACCAGGATAGCCTGGTGCATGTTGAATCACATGTGGCAAATCAAAATTAATGCCTTTTATACTGGGATATTTTGATATGATGATCTTGAGATTGACTCCTAAACCACCTCCCACATCAACCACTTGCTTGAGGTTTTCAAAACCATTGTAGCACTCTAGAATTTTGTTCATCACCATAGTAGTATGATTCGTCATGGCATTGTTGAAGACCTCATTGAACCTTGCATCTAATGCTGGATATTCAAATGCATGTGTTCCATGAACCATATCAAAAGGAACGCCTCCTTCTAACAATGAATCTTTGAGTTTAAACCTTGTTCAATAAACAAAAAAAAAAGTCCATCACCCTAATAATCAGAGTACAATTCACTGGTGCAAAACATTAATCTTGTTTATAGACCTTAATAAAAGTCATTTGCAATGGTCAACCTCTCAAAAGCTTTTAATTTTGATCGAAAAACTATTGTTATAAACTTACACCAACCATTAACCTTTTATAAACTATAATCATGATTTTATTTTTTCTACTTTTAAGTCTGTGTTATATATTTTTTACAAATAACATTAGTTGATAATAATATTTTAATATATAAAAGAACGATAAAATCGTATGTTATGTTTTTTTTTGGGAGGTATTTGTATCATTTTGAAAAAAAAAAAAAAAACTTTTTATGATGAAAATTTCTATAAAATATATTCAATTTTTTTTGTATATTTAAGCAAATAGATCTAATAATAACAAAATAAAATGATTAATTAATATCTAAATATAACTAGGATATAAAATAAATTACCAATATCGACAAAGCATATAGAAGAATTAAAAAGTTAGAGTTTACAAAGGATTGTATTTACCATTCAAAAAAGTTTTCATGTCCAATAATAATAATTAAAAGCTAATAGTATTTTTTTTTAGAAAAAACAAGAGTTGGAGGCGCTTCAATGTTTATCATTAAAAAGAAATAATTTCATATGTCGCTTCAACGTTTATCATTAAAAAGAAATAATTTCATATGTACTCCTAAATTGTTTCGTGTATGTGTACCCTTTTAAGTGAAATAATGTGAATATCCTTCCATAATTTGACAATTTATGTAGGTGAGCAAGGATACTTATGGAGCATCCTTTAAAAAAATTTCGATTTACTTAACTAATTAATCTATAGCCATTTGAGCGGATTCCACCTAGTCAGATTTTGCTCATAGATTACATAACCCACACTGTATTAATCCTCATGTTACCCTCATCCGCTAATTCGGTAAAAAAAGTTTTATAAACCTGTGACTGAACTAAATAAAAATTTAACATATATATATATATATATATATATATAATATATATATATATATATATATATATAATTGAGAAAATAAAAAAGGTTGAGAATTGAGGAATCATTCTCAGCCACTCATTTATTTTTGCCGCAAAAGCCTCCGTTGTACCAGCGAAAGTGGATAAGGAATACATATGTGTTTCCAACAAAAAATGTTTCCTTAAACTATGCTAATCATTACCTTAATATATACAAAAACATAATTATTTTTCGTTTTTTTAATTTTTAAAAACCTATTTTTATCGAAAAATGACTTTAAATATACCAAAATTCATGATTTTTATTCTCTACAAATAGACATCCATATTGATATACTTTTAAGATAAAATAAAAAAATTATTATTTTTATATTTTCAGCTATCGTTATTCATAAGTGAATAAAAATGTATCAGATTTTTGTTACAGTATATTCGTTATTCACTTATGAATAAAAATATATAATTAATTTTTTTTACAGTTTAAGTATCATTTATACTACTTATTCATATATGAATAACAAAATTAACTGTAAAAAAAATCTGATAAATATTTTATTCATATATGAATATAAAATATGACGACAATTAATACACGTTTTATTCATATATAAATATAATATATGACGAAAGATGATGTAAAAAATATATTTTAAGTAATAAAACTTTATTACGTGTCATATTCATATATGAACGATATTTAAACTATAAAAAAAAAAGTTAAGCATACGTTTTATTCATAAGTGAATAACGAATATATTGTAATAAAAATCTGATAGATTTTTATTCACTTATTAATAACGAGAGCTGAAACTCTAAAAAAATAAATTTTTTATTTTATGCTAAAACTATATCAATATGGATGTTTATTTATAGAGAATAAAAAATTATGAATTTTGATATATTTAAAAGAATTTTCGATAAAAATGGCTTTCTAAAAATAAAAAAAAACAAAAAAAAATGTTTTTGTGTATATTAAAGTAATGATTAGCATAGTTTAATGAAACATGTTTGGTTGGAAAACACATGTTTATCCGTTATCCATTTCCGACCGTACGCTAAGTGTTTTGCGGCAAAATAAATGTGTGGCTGAGAATGATTCTCCCATTCTCAAACTTTTTTTTTCTCAATTGAACTTTCTTTTATATATATATATATATATATATATATATATATATATATATATATATATATATATATATATATATATATATATTCCGAAACTTCTCCCATTGTTTTGATATAAACTGTTTAGTGTGATTAAACATACCAACTGTCAACAAACACTTTATCTTGAAGCAACTCCATCAAAGCACATAAGGACACCCCATCTTTGTTTGGAACAAAGTATTTGGCAACGGGGGTGAGTCCATACACTCGAACCAGACCAAACTCACGTTCTTGTTGATTGCAGGTTACAACAGAATGAGTACCGAGCAACCGAAGCATTCGATCGACCATCTGGTGGGCACTCGGATTTGTCATGGACAAACGGGATACGATCTCATGTGCCGAGAGTCGTGCTTCAGGTCCTGCCTCTGCTATAGTCTCGAAGATCTTGAGCTTCATTGCATTCACCAGCACCATGGTGAGGGACATGGAGGTAACCAGTTGCATTGCGTATGCGAATTGCTCCTCTTCCGAACCCATTTTTGAGTCTGAATATTTACAGGCTGTCAAGCTTTGGGTATTTGGCATGATAATACTTTATAGCACTTGTCCGTGCTTGCTTCTCCTCTCTATATAATGTATATGTAATGTATATGTAATAACCCCTCGATAGAATAAAAATAAATTATGTGGTTGTTTTTGAGGTTTTGAGAACGCATGTGCGTGGGTCTCGTAGACCGTGCAAATTTCGAAGTGATTGTTGTGGTGGTTGTCTCATGCTCAAGATTGATTGTTGATTTGTGGGTATATCACCCACTTGTTATATTAAGCACATTTTTTTCATTTTTATAGTAAACTTACTGATTGCACCCAAAGTTTGAAATTTTATAAATTTTTTAGGGGAAAATACTAATCTACCCAAATATACTAATTACCTATAAAAAAATTAGCCAAAAAAAACATTAGTCAAAACTAGCCCACAAAATAGTAGATAGGTTAGGGTTGACTACGGTCAACCTTTGAAAACTACTATTTCGTCGCAATGGACTACTCTTTCGTGACTCGTCTACTGTTTTGTGGCACATAGTATATGATGTCTTATTTTTCAGTTTAAGTTACTTTTTTCTCATTTTTTCTTCCATTGTCTATTATTTTCTCTCAATGGAGCACCCGAAGAACAACGAGGTACGTCCATTTTTAATCAAAATTTTACCGTATTGAAAAAATTTTATATGGGGATAACTTTTTTGTATATGGGGATAACTTTTTTTTGAAAAAAACCGAAAAAAAAAATTAAAATCGTAGGTTTCTTATGAAACCTACGATGTACCAGTCCCCAATGCATAGATTGTGCAGTGTGGACTTGTACATCGTAGGTTTCGTAAGAAAACTCCGGTTTTGATTTTTTTTTCCGGTTTTTTTCAAAAAAAAATAGTTATCCTCATATACAAAAACTACTCCTAATCAACAATACGGTAAAATTTTGATTAAAAATTGGCGTACCTCGTTGTTCTTCGGGTGCTCCATTGAGAGAAAATAGTAGACAATGGAAAAAAATAGTAGTCAAGTTTAACAAAAAAAAGTAGTCAAATTTAGCAAAAAATTAGTAAATTTTACTAAAAAAAATAGTCAAATTTACCCAAAAAGTAGTCAAATTTACCAAAAAAAATAGTCAACAAATTCAAAAAAGTAATCTACATTTTAGCAAAAAATTATTTTATCAAAATAATTGTTAAAAAACTATTTTATATTTTACAAAAAAAAATTATAACAAAATAATTGTAAAAAAACTACTCTACACAATATTTTTAATCAAAATAATTCTTAAAAAAAGTACTCTCTATTAAAAAAAAACCGTAGCTTTTTAACTAAAAACCGTAGACTTCAACCCAAAACCGTAGTTTTCATTAAAAAAAACGTAGATTTAACCCAAAACCGTACGGTTTGGGAAACCGTATTTTATAGAGAGAAAACTGTAGGTTTTAAAAAACCTACGGTTTTATATCTTCAAAATGAAAAAAAAAATTATACTAAACACGAAACAGTAGACGATTCTAAATACCTACGGTTTCGGGTGCTATTTTAGGATAATTCCTAATTTTGGCTAAAAATGGTTAATTACTCCTTTAATTTGGCTAGATTAGTAATTAGCCCAATTTTTTTTTTATAGTTTTCTCTTCTAATCTAATCTAATAATTCACTCCCACTCAACCTTATCCTTTCATTTTTTCTTCCATTGTCTACTATTTTTTCTCAATGGAGCACCCGAAGAACAACGAGGTACGTCCATTTTTAATCAAAAATTTACCGTATTGTTGTTTAGGAGTAGTTTTTGTATATGGGGATAACTTTTTTTTTTTGAAAAAAACCGAAAAAAAAATTTAAAATCGTACGGTGTACCAGTCCCCCATGCATAGATTGTGCAGTGTGAACTTGTACACCGTAGGTTTCGTAAGAAACATACGGTTTTAATTTTTTTTTTTTTGGTTCTTTTCAAAAAAAAAAATTTATCCCCATATACAAAAATTACTCCTAATCAACAATACGGTAAAATTTTGATTAAAAATTGGCGTACCTCGTTGTCCTTCGAGTGCTCCATTGAGAAAAAATAGTAGACAATGGAATAAATAGTAGTCAAGTTTAACAAAAAAGTAGTCAAATTTAGCAAAAAAGTAGTAAATTTTACCAAAAAAATTAGTCAAATTTACCAAAAAAAAATAGTAACAAATTCAAAAAGTAATCTACATTTTAGCAAAAAATTATTTTATCAAAATAATTGTTAAAAAACTATTTTATATTTACAAAAAATATTTTTTAACAAAATAATTGTCAAAAAACTGCTCTACACAATATTTTTAATCAAAAAATACTCTATTAAAAAAAACCATAGCTTTTTAACCCAAAACCGTAGACTTCAACCCAAAACCGTAATTTTCATTAAAAAAAACGTAGATTTAACCCAAAACCGTGGGTTACGGTTTCGGAAACCGTATTTTATAGAGAGAAAACCGTAGGTTTTAAAAAAACCTACGGTTTTATATCTTCAAAATGAAAAAAAAAATTTATAATAAACACGAAACAGTAGACGAATTAGCGAAACAGTAAACGATTCTAAATACCTACGATTTCGTGTGCTATTTTGGAATAATTCCTAATTTTGGCTAAAAATGGTTAATTACTCCTTTAATTTGGCTTAGATTAGTAATTTGCCCAACTTTTTATAACTTTCTTTTCGATCTAATCTAATCTAATAATTCAGTCCCGCTCAACCTTATCCTTTCATGCCTAACTTTGGATGAAAAAACCCCAGGAGGAGCCATCTTCTATTTTTGTTAAAGTAAATATATAAATGCAATTATTAGTTTTATTTGTATCTTTTTGGTAATAATTGTTAGTTGTTGGTTTAACTATTATTTGTTAACTTTAACGGTTAAATGATTGGGTTTCTTTTATTTGATTTTGCTAATTATAAATTAGGGTTCTTTTTGTGGGATTTTGTTTGTTGTAATTCTTGATTAATTGGATTTTTAGTTAGGGTATTTGGTTCGAAATTATAAGTTGTAACATATGTTTAATAGAAGGGTTAATTTCATAAAAACTCTTAAATTTTCAGGTTTTTGTCGGTTTTACCAAAAGTTGAAATTTATGTTCGTTTATGCCTCGAAAAAATTGTTCAGTTTTGCCCCTTTACTTTCTATTGCCAAAGTTGAAATTTATGTTGGTTTATGCCTCAAATATCGGAAAAAATTGTTCAGTATTGCCCCTTTACCTTTTACGGCAGGCCAATCCATAGTTGATTGTTTAGTATTGCCCCTTTACCTTTTATGGTCGGTCAATTCATAGTTGATTGGAGGGAAGAGGCTTGCCATCAAATGAAAAAGGTATATTATGAACGAGAAATGGAGATCAAGAGGATTAAAACCCGGGCCTACCACACTACTGGAAACGAATCCAACCACCAAGCTAGAAGGATTCTTGTGTTTTGTTTCCTAACTTAATATATATAATGTGTTATGCGGAAACAATTATTATTATTATTATTATTATTATTATTATTATTATTATTATTAATATTGATTTTACTATTATTATTATTAGTATTACAATTTTTCGAGCTTGTTTATATATTGAAAACCGTGATTTTTTATTTTAAAAACATATATATCGCATAGAAATGTATTTTAACGTATTTATTAGGTATATATGTATTTTTTTGTAATAAAAACATATTGATGTAATTTTATGTGTATGAAAAACGTTTTTATACGTCTAAATATGTATAACAACGTTATTTATATGTAAAAAACGTTACTTATAAGTATAAAAACATTTTTTATACATATATAAACGTATATAGATTATTTTGAATGTATTTATATGGTATTTTCATATTTGTATATATACGATATGTTTTATATGAAATAAATACATATACACATGCTAAATACGTTTAAATACGTTATTTATACGTCATTATACATAATGTATAGATATAAATATGCAAAAAACCTCTTTATACATAATATATACATATAATGCAAAAAACATCTTTATATATAATGTATACATATAATTACATATAAAAACATATTGATGCATTTTTTTTTATTTATAAAAAATACATTTATATGTTTATATATGTATTAAGACGTTATTTATATCTATAAAAACGTTTTTATACGTAAAAAAACATTTTTTTATACATATAAAATGTATAGACATTTTTAAACGTATTTTATATGGTATTTTCATATTATATACCTATAAATACCTAAATATAGGTATTTATATTTAAAAAAGTATTTATACATTCTAATATAGATATTTATATTGAAAATACAAAATACATGTATATAACTATTTATATTGAAAATCCAAAAAAAAAATACTTATGTTGATGTTACGAAAAATATGTCTTTATATTGAAAATACGAAATAATAATAATAATAATAATAATCAAAATCAAAATAAAAATCTATTTAAATTGGTTCACTGATATACATTATATTTATTGTTCAAGTGGTAAAGCACAAGGATCAAACTAGTTCAGTGGTAAGTGTTAGCATTTGTAGGTTGAATGTGGCAGGTTCAATTCCTGCCAATCTCATATTCCTCGTGTGGAGTTTTTTTTAAGGGCTTCCATATAAACAACATGCGTTGAAAGAAAAATAAAATAAATTGCATGTTTGCGGCAAAAACGAACATAAATTTCAACTTTGATAATAACCGATAAAAACCTGAAAACTTAATGTTTTTGTGGCATTAACCCTTAGACCCGACGGAGTGTAGCGGGAGAGTGGCGAGGGAAGCGTTCCCGCTCACCGGAGCACCGCACCGACACTGCGGGAACGGTGGTGCGAGAAAGGGGGTCCGGGTGCCGCACTCTCTCTTCGATTCCTATTGGCTCATTTTATATATATATATATATATATATATATATATATATATATATATATATATATAATATATATATATATATAAGTTTTTTTTAATTTCTTTCCCCCACTATAAATACCAACCCAACCCAACATTATTTTTAATCAATTTCTAAATATTCTCTCTAAAAAAACACTAGAACACAATGTCATCATTTCATCTTTCGATTTGACGACTCAAGAGGAGACATTATTTGTTGGTTCCGTCATCGCGAAGATT